GGTAATAAGAAAAAGGAATTCAAGTATGTGCATTGCTGGGAACTTTTGGTAACGAACCCAAAATGGTGCACAAGTCAGCTTACGAAATCGTCTGCATCTGATAAAGATTCTTTGGTCAATGGTAACATTGTGGGAACAAATCAGACCACACCTAATGTGGGCAATTGTTCTAACGAGCCTGAAAAAGTAGCATGTGATGAAATTGTGCGCCCACAGGGAAGGAAGAGCTGTAAAGAAAGAAAACGTAAGTTGAATTCAGACAATGGAGTGATAGAAGTGTTGAGTAAATTACAGCATACCTTAGACAAGCAAGTTGAAATTAATATGGCAGAGTTGGAGTTGAAGAACGAACTACTGAAGAAGGAGATAGAACTAAAAGAGAACAGTCAAAAAATGAAGATGAAGGATCAAGAAACGAGAGAGGGAGAGAGAGAAAGAGCCCAAAGGAGATTAGAACAAGAACGCATCATGAATCTTGATTTGAGTAAGCTGTCACCTACAGCTCAAGCGACATATGAAATATTGCAAGCTCAAATATCAAAGGAGTGGGGAATTGGCAGCTTGTATACCTGAATACATTGGAGATATATTAATGCATTTTAATTTCAAACATGTCACTGTCATTTGATTTCAAAGACTATTCTTCCTACATAGCATTAGTTATTTAGATAGTTGAATTATATATTTCCTAAGAAAATATGAACCTTATTTGTTTATTAATGATGTTGTTGATTTGTTTGTTTTAATATTGTTTTGGGATTAACTTCTTTTCCTGTTAGTTACATGAAAGCTAGGAGTAGACAACAATTATTACACAAAAAACTAAATTTATGTCATTATAAGGAAGTGATTCTCAATGTCAGGGAAGCTAGTGTCCCTTTGAACTAAAAATCATAAAAAAAAATCATGGCAGTGTGTAACATGCATGCAAAAGATTTAGAATGATATAAATTTTTAAACTAAGTTGTCTTATATTAATGACACAACGTCACTCCCACATTATTGTATAACTTAAAATTTTACAAAGCAATAAATAAAGCTTATTACATTAAACTAAACATGAAGGGTTCACAAAACACACAAAACAAATTAATCATCAAAAACTTGACCACCATAGACTTCCCACAAATGGTTGATGAGATCATTTTTTAATTCTCTATGTAACCATGTGTTTTGTATCTGTTTTGTCCGATTAATCATCATGGACATAATTAAGGTAAAATCATGCTCTAGATTAACACCTTCACCGAGTTCATCTCCTTCATCCCGCCAATCTTCTGGATTAACGCCTTCACTACACTCATTCTCAATAATCATGTTATGTAAGATGATGCATGTCTTCATTATCTTTCCCAAGTCTTTAGCACTCCACATTCGAGCGGGTCCTTTAATTATATGCCATCGACTTTGTAGCACACCAAATGCTCGCTCAACATCCTTTCGCGCCGATTCTTGTTTTTTTGCAAATAACTTTTCCTTGACAGACGACGGTTGAGATATTGTTTGGATGAGAGTAGCATACTGTGGATATATCCCATCAGCTAAAAAATACCCCATGTTGTACTCATGACCTTGAATAGTGAATTTGCATGGCAGAGCAATACCATTAATTATATCATCAAATAATGGTGATCTATCTAAAACTGTAACATCATTGTTACTACCCGCCATTCCAAAAAAAGCATGCCAAATCCATAAATTTTGGGAAGCTACAACTTCTAAAATAAGAGTGGGAACTCTTTTAAAACCATTAGTATGCGTGCCATGCCAAGCAGTGGGACAATTTTTCCATTGCCAATGCATACAATCCAAGCTGCCCAGCATACCGGGAAATCCACGAGTCTCATTTTCTTCTAGGAGCACTCTAATATCATCCTTGTTTGGTTTTCTCAAATAATGCTCTTCATAGAGTCCTATAATAGCATCACAGAAATGCTTCAGGCTTTCAATCGCAGTATTTTCTCCAATTTGAACATATTCATCAAGAAAATCAGCTGGACAACCATATGCGAGCATACGTATTGCTGCAACCATCTTCTGGAGGGGGCTCAACCCAATGTTTCCAACAGCATCAGTCTTTTGTTGAAAATATGTGTCATGGTTTTCAACATCTTGTAGTATTCTATTGAATAATTCAATATTCATTCTAAATCTACGACGAAAAAGTTCGGGGGTGTACTTTGAGTTTTCACCTTTGAAGTAGTCATTAACTATTATGTCATGGCGCTCTTTCCTATCACGGTGAATATAGCATCTACCTGATGATGTTGAGCCGTCAAGAGAAAACTTTGCAGCGGTCAACATTGAAGAAACAATCAAGGGAGCATCCGAATGCTTATTTACGTCAAACAACAAATGTTTGGAAAGTGTAAGTTCACTGTCACTGGAACATGAACTATTAGAGTCCGAATCAAAATTCGGAGAAGTCGTATCCATTAACTGCTTTTCTGTTCAAACAAAAAAGCAATCAACACCATAATTCTTACATGTACTAAAAAAATCGCATAATCTAAAACTAATAAAATAAAGATTATATATAAACAATTATACTGTATATACGAAGTATAGTAATACACACACATATTAATTTTTCTAAACTTAATACCCACTTCCTTTAAAAAAACTTTAAAACCACTTTCCACAGTCCTCTTTCTTTAACGAAGGATTCAAACAAAAGTGGAATTTAATTTTTGTTTCATATTCTTTAGAAGAACAAAACAAATACAACACGATCATATTCTTTATGATCAGATTTGTATAATCTAACGTGACCAAAACAATAGAATTTGTAAAGGATCGAGATTCGAGAGTAGGACAAAACAAGATTTACCTGAGATCTACGTAGGAAGTTGTTTTTTTTAAAGCTGCGTAGGAAGCTGTTAAAACAAAGAAAAGTAGTTTAGATTTATTTTAATGTAATATTTTCCACATGGGATCTGTCATGGGCCGAGAGTTTGTGATGCATTGTAGAGGTTTTTTAACTTTCACTTTCCGATGAAACCACTTTTTATTTCGTGGACTACAAAGCCATTTAATTTTTTGACATTTGGCACTTTTAAAATAGACTAGACATGGATGGGTTGGAGATGCTCTAAGACCATTTTCTTGTTGTGCCTACATGTCATCTGATCTATGTATTTATGTTTCTATTACTACGTATATTATAAACGTATGTTGTGTAACAATAAATAAATATTCCGCATTCATTTTTTGTTTTGGTTAATCTACCTTGATTTTGTATACTATGGAGTGTTCAAATAATTGATTTGAATTTTACTAAGGTTATACAAATTTAATCCCACATCTTTGACTTGTGCTCAACGCTCACTTTTAGTAATGTAATTTTATTCATTGGTATGTTTGATCATGTAATTAGTCAATCTATGAAATTTAAGTGCTTCTCCTGCTATAAATTACACTTTATGACAAAATATATATTGAAAAAATTATCGAAGACGACTAATTTTCTGTCAAAAAGTGTACTATATAGTGGAAAAGTCTCTATGTTGTAAAGATTTATTGGTTACCCAATCAAATATGCAAGCGATTAGAATTCTACAACTACTTGTGGTCAAAACTGAAAGTTAATTAGTGAATTAAAATTGTAAATGTCTCATTTTATTAATATACAATTATAGAGTACTCTTCCGGTCAGGAATTCCTTACCGGAACCACCGTCCAGATGACGGCTTTGGCCACCTTCCCGGTGGAATTTATCAATGAAATTTTTATGACATGTTCTTCATCAAGTCTAGTTTATCCACAAACAAATTCAGCCAAAAACGCATTCGGGAAGGTCGTCAAATGATTTTTGCAAGTTAACTGGTCCGGAAAATACATATTCCAGACCAGTTAACTTGCAAAAATCATTTGACGACCTTCCCAATTGAGTTTTTAGCTGAATTTTTTTGTGAATAAACTAGACTTGATGGAGAACATGACATAAAAATTTCATCAAAAAATGCCACCGGGAAGGCGGCCAAACGCCGCCGTCCGGACGGCGGTTCCTGTCCGGAATTCCGGACATTAACATTTGTGCATATATATAATTGTACACAAATGTTCATGTCCGGAATTCCGGACCAGTTAACTTGCAAAAATCATTTGACGACCTTCCCGAATGCGGTTTGGATTAATTTTTTTGTGGATAAACTAGACTTGATGAAAAACATGTCATAAAAATTTCATCGAAAAATTCCACCGGGAAGGTGGCCAAATGCCGCCGTCCGGACGGCGGTTCCAGTCAGGAATTCCTGACCGGAAGAGTACTCGAAACATTCAATCCCCAAAGCCAATTTAGTTACTTGAATTAATTATATCACCCATCATTGGAGAACCAAAAATGTTAGCATAAAAGTAGAAGAAGAGGATCAATGGAGAGTTATTAAAAATCACCAAATACTCTTGTATATGTTGGAAATATGATGATATAAATGTTATTTCTTTAGTTCTCTTTTTTGAGTTCTAAAATAATATGTATAAAATATGAATTGACTGTGGCTTATTATACATCAAAGAACAAATTTTATGTATTTGGATTTATATCATTTAATGATTAGAATCCATGGTTGTAAAGTTTGTAAAAGTGATGTATTGTGAATTTTGTTCTATTTATAAAATGATTGGTCTTCTTTAGATGTTATATGATAAAGGAACGTTATTCAAGAACGTTATTCAAGTATCATATAAAGTTGCTTAGAAATTATCTCGAGAATTACTTATTCGAATAAGAATGTTGGGTTATAATTTGAAGCTTGTTGACCATATCATTTTTGGAACAAACATTCTAATATTACGTATGTTATTTAACTTTTTATAATGATAAATACACATCGTGGCACTTGAGCTTATTGCGGAAGTTTCAAAATCAAAAATTTGAACTATCCGATATGTAAGGTGTAAGCTTGGTCAATAGAGTTTGTGGATCCTAACTTTTTGGATGGTGGATGCACAATGATAGGACCGCACTCCACTTCATTTATTTTATTCTGATTTCCAATTACCAACTCACGTTCTGGAGCACTAAGTACAAAAGAAAACACTTGAATCTTTTTCTTTCTTTCATCGTACGAGAGCATAGTCAATCCATAGTATCCTCATAAAGTTTTCTTCTACTTAACTAGTCAACGGCGGCAACGAGTGTTTCTGTCAAGCAAACTTAAGGACTGAAACTGATGTAGGATTATCCTGGGAGTGAGTTGGCCAATCCTGTTCGAGTAGCTATCGAGATACGAGGGCTATCTTTCTTCAAGGCCAGTCCGATTATCGGACGATCTTACGCTAAGTCTTCTTTTCTCTACTTTTTATATTAATATTTTATTTCTAATTATTGTTTCCATTTTATTTGTTCTTGCATTTGGTGGTTTGTCTGGTGATTTGTGATTAAACTCGGGATTTTATCTGACTAAACTCGCCGTTTAATACTATTTTCCTAACAATCTTGAAGAAAGATATTATTTCTCGAGTTTTGAAAATCCAATATGACGAACTTGGAAAGTGCTGCTACTTCTGAAAACGTTGTTGTTGAGAATAATGTGAATGAAATCCCTGAAAATAATGTTAATTCTGTGTCTGTGACTAATTCTGGAGACACGCCTGAATTTGTTGCTACGGGCTCTCGCAGGGTTGATTTGACCGGAATGCCTGAAAAAATTTCTGGACATTTTTTCTAGCGTTGGCAACAACGCATGAAAATTTGGTTAATCACCAAGGGATTGCTCTCGGTAATTATGACGGTGTGTCCCCCCGTTGTCGAGTCTGATCCCAAGAGTCTTGAACGCCAATCTTTATGGCGTGAGAGGAATGAAATAGCCAAAGGAATGATATTGTTGGGACTCTCCGACATGTTATTTGATGTCTATTGCACCCTCCATGGCACGGCTAAAGACCTTTGGGATGAGTTGGATAGGAAATATAATACTGATGACCATGGTCTCGAAAAGTATATTGTTTCCAAATTCTTGAGATTTGACATGAAAGAGGGGAAATCTGTTTTAGAACAGACACAAGAATTTGAGCTCATCTTACATTCTCTCCGTGAAGCAGATATGGAATTGCCTGAAAAATTTAAAGTCATGGCTGTAATTGAAAAATTCCCCAAATCGTGGGAAGATTTTGGTTTGACTTTAAAACACAAAATGAAAAAGATAACTTGGAAAAGTTTGATGCATTCCATTACTGTTGAGGAAGAACATAAGAAAGCGGGCTATATTGTGCCTGTTGAATTTCAGCCAAAGGCTCATGTTGTAACCGGGGGAAAGCAGTCACAAAAATCTAAAAATAAACAACCATCATCTTTTAAACCAATAAAGGCCAAATTAAAAATTGCAAAGAAACCAAAGGCAAACCGTCCATGCTGGAACTGTGGACAGATGGGGCATTGGGCCAAATTATGTCCAAATAAAAAGGCTAAGACTCAATCTGGTGGACCTCAAGTCAACGTGGTGACTGGAGGAACTAGTTCCGATGGGTATGTTTCTATTAACCCTCAAGTTGGTAGGTACAATATAGGTTCTCATAAGCCGCCCAAGTTTTCCATGCATGGAAGCCTCACAATGTATAGTGGAGTAGGAGTTCTGAAGTGGGGGTCGCCATGTACATCAACTATTAGGATTTAGGAGGAAGAGAGCTGGTTTATCAATCAATGGGACGATTTCCTCCTGGGGATATAGGTGGCGTGAATGTGTAAAACTCATCAAAATGAAAGATGCAATTGGAGATAGTTTATGGGGGTTCTTCGCGCACCCCACAATTGCTTTACGTAACTATGGGCGGACAAATTTAGCCTTCTTAATTAATAATCATAATTAATTATAATTAAAACGATAATTGAAATTGCTTGGCGCACCTCCAGACTCCACGCTCGGCTCCATTGAGAAGGATTCCCATATCAATTTTACATTTAATATACATCCAATTAGACCTGCACAAAAGCGGGTTCAGGCCGGGCTCGGACCGGGCTTTTCATAAGTTTTCTGCCCATCGTGTGTGGGCAGCCCCGGCCCGGCCCGCTAAAACGGGCCTAACCCCATGTCCATACCCACCTGTAAGAGCGGGTCGGGTAGTCCACCGGGGCACCGGGCCCGGGAAAACTTTAAATATTTCAAAATTATATAATTTATTTAATACTTTATAAATAATATTACAACATTTAAAAAATTGCTAATACGCTTATAATGTGACACCGCACCCGTATGGACTTGAATTTGAAAGTTGATATGTATTTGAATTTTCCTAACGAATAAAATTCGTGTAATCGATTGGTATATTTAATTAATGCATGATAAATTAAATTATTTATCGGGTCCAGTATATGTGGCTGGGCTACCAAATACTTAGTTGGGTTATCATAATAATTATAGGAGCCCAAATAAAGTGTCAACCAAAGTTGATAAAAATATTTGGACAACCCGGGTGCTATTTTGGCCCAACCTACCGAAAATAGCAGGAATAATCGGGGGAAACTTCCTACACTCACTTGGGGTATTCTACACATCAAATAGCCACAAATAATTGAGAGTGGGACAAAAATAAATGGGAAGGGGCGGACTAATGAGTGAGGGGATGGTTAAGGACAAAGCCACACCCCCCATGTCTCATTCATGCATCAATTTGCTTAATTGATTGAGTGAGGTACCTCCCCCCTTTCATTTGCATCCTATACGAACCACTCAAGGGAGATAAGCTCTAGGGAGAGCTCTCAAAAAGTCCAAGGTTGGAGGAAGCAAGAAGGAAGTATTTCCCAACACAAAAAAGCTAGGATTTGAGGTAAGAATCCAACTAGTATGAATTAACTAGTATTATTTTGTATGATTTTTAATAAATCATATGGTGGATTAAACATGAAGTTTTACACGTTTAAAAGTGTAGAATAATGTTATAAAGTGGTGGTATTTAACTTAGAAGAGTCGTGGAATCGATAGGAGTTGAAACCGCCGGAAACCGCCACGTATAGGAGGCTGTTCGTAGCTGCAGACCACGAAAGCCGCCCACCTTTCACGAAAGCTGCCCGGCTTTCGTCTGCTGTCCAGATTTTTGATCTCCAATCGGTTTAGAACGGGGATTGATCGGAGGGCTTAACAAAGGCAACTATTTCAGCACTTCATAAGGTGAGGATGACTGACTATATTGCTTATAATCTTTGGGTTAATTTCATGAGTTTACCTAAGGTAATTAAATGTGTTTTTAAGGATTATTAATGATTAATAATGCATAAGAATGAGAAGACTATTGTCTATAAGGAAAGGAGCATAATATACAAATTTGGAAGAAATTGTGTATGATTATGTGATATGAAAGGAATGGTATGGTAATGGAATTAACTATGAAAATTGTGATAAAATATACTTTTACTTCATGTATGAAATTCATGAATGGATAAAAGTGATATTTTTGATATTGGGATTAAATCGTATTTGGATTGGAAAATCAATTGAGATAAACTATTCGGCTATGGAGTTGGAACTTGGTTGTTCTAAGAATGATCGACTAGTATTAAAATACTAGTCGGGAGATTTATATAAATAAATGATGGAATTAATCCTAAGAGATAGGATTGTGAATAGATATGCCTTAAGTAGTCTTAAGATGATGCTTTAAGGTCGAATTGTATGAACACTAAGGTGTGTTAGGGGTAGGCCTTAAGGCTATCCAAGTGAATTGATTCTAGGCATAGGATTTGCTTGAGAATTGAGCTATGGAAATAAATTAGAGTCGGACTCTAGGATTACATGGAAATGTAGTTGGGCCGAGCCCTTGCCATGTAATGTGACTAGCATGGAAACGTAGTTGGGCCGAGCCCTTGCCATGCATTGTGATCTTCATGGAAACGTAGTTGGGCCGAGCCCTTGCCATGAAGTTATGGTTGGTATGGAAACGTAGTTGGGCCGAGCCCTTGCCATACAAATTTAGACATATTAAATCGAGTTAAAGGATTGTATAGAAATGTAGTTGGGCCGAGCCCTTGCTATACAATCGGGACTCGAGGGAACCCTATGGGGTTGTCGTGACTCATAGTCACGGGGAACGAAAAATGGTAAATTTTTAAATGAATATGGGCCACGGGCCGACTACTTGACTTTATATAAAGTAAGTATATTTATAAAACAGGGTAACCGGGAGTTATGGCCTATGATATAATATTACTCTATTTGAGGGTCTTAAGAAATTGAAACATTGATTATACTTAGTATAGTTGTCATTGTACTTGTCAAATGCTTCCAAGTACTGACCTTCCCTTCACGGGGGAGGCCACCTCACAGTTTCAGGTAGAACTTGAAGAGTTGCTGCCACCACCCGTTGCTTCGGGGTGATCAAGGGAAGAAGACGTGGTTCGTGCTTCTTCCGTTTCTGTTTTGAAAACAATTTGAATAATGCTCATGGATATTATTTTTGAGATAATCATTCGGGGGCTTATATGCCCATGTTTGCCGAGTGTGGCATAAACACTTGTATTAAATGTTTTCGCTGCTTAAATGAATATTTTACATTATGCTTGTTTATGGATGTACTATGTGTGACTGGTATTCAAGACGCCTTGTATAGTATGGATGAGTTGGACTACGGTTGACTATTCGTACTGTACGACGGGTTGTTGACGTGTCCGGGTAGGTCCGGGGCGTGACATATAATGTATATAGGTCTTTCATCACACACACAAAAAATATTTACACAAAAATAATAATGAGAAACTATATCTAAAATTTAAAATTCATGCACAAAGTATTATCTTTAAGTACAAAAAATAGATATTATATTGGTTGGACTATTTGTTAAGAACTAAAAACTTAAATTTAAACATAATAAACTATATATATGTTTAAAGATAAATTAGTAAATATAAAAATATACATGTGTACATGTAAATAAATACATAAAATTACCATGTATATATATACTATATATATACACACACACATATATATATACTAAATGTAGCAGGTCAGGCCCGGGCCGGGCCGGTGGGTAAATTTATATACCTAAGCCCACTAATTTGTGTGGGCGGGCCGGCCCGGTTTTGTACAGGTCTGCCATGTGGCTTTCAAAAAGACGTTGGAAGAAGCCATTGGATTATATGTATATTTCGAACCAGTTTTCTTTCAAAAATCATTTGATAACCTTCCCGATTGAATTTTTTGCTCAAATTTGGTATGGATGAACTAGACTTGATGAGAAACATACTCAAAAAATTTCAGCCAAAAATACCACCGGTTCTCACGGGTTCTCATTTTAAGAGGGTTCTCACTAGAACCCTCCCCTAGACATATATTATCAAATGCAATAGGAGTATGCAATAGTTTTAATGGGATGGATAATAATTTTAACGGGATGGATCGGAAAATGAAACAATTTTAACATAATGAAATAAATGGATATTTGGACTTTCGATCATACATAATTTTATACTACGTATATTATTTAGTTCAATAAAAACCAACACGTATCAAATTGGTTTAGTGTGCAACAAATATCCCACACACGTTCCTAATTTTAAATTGGGTTTGATAATTATTGCATAATTGATAAATTAGTCAAACGTATCCTACATGTAATCTGAGTCGCGAGTGTCAAACAAAAACAAAATCACAAACAAATCTCGCTTCTCTTTTTTATATACAAACTTATAATAAAACTTATAATAATAATAAAACTTATAATAGTGAATAAAAGTTAGGGTAATTTAGACAGGGAAAAAATGTTGGTTGAACATTGAGTTCTACCACTTGTGCTCTCTATATTAATGGGCATCTTACCGTTTTCTCTCCGTGACTCCGTCTCCCACGGTTTCGTAGCACTAACGAGACTTATCTTCTGTTATTATTATCTCCTGGTAAGCTTATGCTCTTTGATTTCTTTGTAATTAATGACTCCATTCATCTCCACCTTCATCTATTCAAACTTTATGAGCCGATAGTTATGGATGGAGGAAAGCCTATTATTGCAGGTTTTCTGCCTAATGATAGTGTGGAAATTTGTCAAAGCTTACGCAATTCCTCACGGACTTAGCACTGTTAGCCGCATATGCTCAACAGGCTCTCCAACCTGAGAGACAACTCCCGACTCTCTCAACAGGTTACGTTTTCTCCAATAAGTGCTCTGTTGCTTCATTTTCCATCTTGAAAACAATAAATTCAGTTTCGTTTAAAATTCAGATCTTGTGTATGTGTCTTTTGGTATAAAACAACCTGTAAACTCATAACCAGGTTAATCCATTTTGAGATCAATGAGAAATTCTTCATTTGGAGTACTATTTGATTTTGTTTTATTTTAATGGGAGGAAATATAATATACTACTATGAAGTACACAAGGTGTTTGTAAATTTGTCTAGCTTGAGTCTTTGTTTTTTTTATGGTTGGTTAACTCATTTTTTCCCCTACCTAAACTACCCTAACCTTGATTCACTATTATAAGATTGTCTCTTCTCAATTTTTCTTTCCTATTGTTGAGTTCGTTCTCTAGGTCTTCTCTCAGATAAACTCCAACATTCATAGTTATATTGTAGCCGAGTATGATTTAAATCCTAAATCCTATGACATCCTGGGATAATGAAATCATATATGTTTTGTTATATTTCGCAGTTGAACATATTGTTTGCTCAAGCAAAATCTACTGTGTAGTTGTGATTTCTGTTTTCTTTAGTGTGGTGCACAGAACATAAAATGCTTAATTCATATTATTATTGCTTAATTCTATATTAAGATTTGTCCCATAGTATCATGTTTAAGAAGAAATTGCTTATGATTTGCCCTGTGAAATTCAAAAGTTCCAATTAAAAAAGATATATTCTTTTCAATCAGAATTTACATAATACTTTTAATAATAATACATATGGTTAGATATATAATAGGCTATATTCAATATTAAGTTTATATTGCTTAAGGTTATAAAACAACTCTATACTACTTTGTTATTATTATCATTTCAGCTGCTTAGTTTGGTTCTTCCATTTGCTTCATAAAGATAACAAATCCTAAGGTGTGGTGTACAAGAACAGTTGTAGGTCGCCTTTTATTAGGCTCAAGTAACTAATATTGTTCCCTTGGTACAAAAACTCTTTATCCCACGAAGAGAACATGGGATTAACAATCACAACACTCCTCCAAGCCTCGCCCTCTGGATCGGATTACCTTTTTGTACTTAAATTTCCATTCGACTATCACTATCACTTTTCTCTCCACAATTTTCTGTTCATTGGATCCATAGTTTTCTGTTCTTGAGATCCTTTTTCTCTCCATACTTTTCCGTTCAACAATCCCTGATTTGTTCGGGTTCTCTCTGATTTAGAATTGTTGTTTGAGCCAACAGTTTTAGCCTCAATCAACCTGCCTGATGGCTAGCTGCTTTGGATATGACACTTGATGATATGATAAAGAGCGGGCGTAATAGTGAGAGAAGTCAGAAAAGTCGGGGCGAGACAGACCTCAACGTGGAAGAGGGACCAGTAGATCATTTAGAGGTGGAAAACGTGCTGGAGCTCCTCCTGGTCGAGGTGCTCTTGGTGTTAATGCCAGATCATCAGCCCACACCATTGTTGTCTTTCCGCAAGATAAAAGATTTTCCTTGGCAGAACGGTTTGTTTGAAGATAGCCTTAGAGCAGCTGGGTTATCATCTGGATTTGAAAGTGGGGCCAAGTTATATGTTTCCAACTTGCACAATAGCGTGACCAATGAAGATATAAGTGAACTCTTCTCTAGAGATTGAAGAATTATTGGTAATGTATGTCATCCACTATGACAAGAATGGCTGACAAAGTGGTTCCGCTGAGATACAAGCAATGTACCTAATTGGATGGAAAGGCTATGAAGATTGAAGTAGTTCCAACCAACCCGCAAGTCCACATGTTAAAACTTAGATATACTACGTGTAAGTGTGTAACCCTACCATGTGATCGATTTAGCTAATGGGATGCATAACCTATAACATTATTAATCAATTGAATATTTATACTTTTAGTGGTATCGGGAATATATTTCAAATGATTCATTTTAATTTTGATTTGTTGAAATTGAACTACTTCTGTCATGTGTTAAGATTCTTATTGCAAAATAACACAATTATTAAGATAATAATTAAAGAAGATAATTCGATTATAGTATTAGAAATAATTTTGATAGGTATATAATATAATGAAATCATTGAGGATAGTTATGATGTTATATATTACTAGTATATAAGATTTTTCATATTTGATGATTGAATTGTCATTTAGGAGTGTCGATTATTTTCTAAAAATGAAACATGAATCTTTAGTGGGAGATCTAAAAAAAGGTAAAAATGAGAGCTTTAAGTTGGGAAGAAGAGAATATAGGACAATAGGGGCTAGACTACAAATGTTTTCTCAAATAGGAGGTATATAGATCCACTTCTTAAAATTGTTTATACTCCCTGTGAAACAATAGAATTCGGTATTGGAGTTTTTGAAAGAAAATGCAATAGTTCTTTTTTTGGGGGGTGCAAAAGTACTTTTATGTGTTCCAAATTATTCGTACAACAATTGAGAAGACTAAGGATGTTTTTATTTGGACTGTAATTTGTCCCAGATCAGATCAGATCATTCCAGACTTGGGTAGTTATAAAAATACAAAGAAACCAGACCAGGCCAGGCCAGATCAGAACAGACCAGCAAATTACAGTCCAAGTAAAAACATCCTAACTTCTTAAACTCTCATCCTACTCCTTTTAAAAAGTAAATAAAAGCTAAGGGCCTGTTTGGTAATGGCTACAACGGCTGAAATAACTGAATCTGCTTAAATGGTTGAATCTGTTGAAGTGAAAGTGTTAGATAATATATTGGCTGAAATGGCTGATTAAATGTAAAATTGCCATAAAGGGTATTATCATTGTGTTAAATAAATGAGTGGAAGTTTGCTAATAGTTTTTTTTTGTTTGATTAGAACTCTTCAAAATATACTCCGTAAATATACTCTACCATCAAAGAAGCACATCAATCCAGATAATCATGAGTGGAGGAAAAGGCGTTTTGCAAGGCTAATATTTAAGCATTTAGCTATGTCTCAGTTAGAATTTGAGGCACTTCAAGTTAGGTTTTAGAATTAAAGAGGAAACTGGATCGCAGCTTATCTTTGTGAATATGGCCTGGTCCAGCCGAGCAAAAGTCTTCTATTTGGACAAGAAACTATGAGCAACGAGCAGATGATAATATTGAGCAGGGGGAGATGTATTTCGGATGTAATAGAATGACAAAGTGGTCTTTAGAATAGTTAACAGTGAAATAATAATTTTCAGTTAAAAAAGTAGCCTTAGGGTTGGTTTTTGTCTTTTTGAGTTGATAATAATTTTCAGCCTAATCAGCTTGTTTCGGAATTTATGTGTCCCGAAATATGAGTAAAAACGTTTTTAAATTTTTAAATAGGACATTCCTGTTTTTATTTTCTAAATATGTGTAATTACTGCCAAACTTGAAAAATAATACTAGTATCATGCTTATAGTATGGAAATGATAAAACATGATAGTAATTACTCTTATTTAGGAAATACAAACATTTTAGTTTGTAATTTGGCATTCACAAACTAGGCGTGGACCCGGTTTGGGCCGCCCGGCCCGGGACCGGCCCGGCCCGTCACTGTACGAGCCCGGAACCGGCCCGGTTCTCGGGTCCGGGTCCGGTTCGGGCACTGAACCGGTGGGAGAAGCGGGTCCGGGCTCGGGTTCTGTTTTTGGTGGCCCGGCCCGGCCGGGTTGGGCCCTGGCCCGGGCCTAACGGTCATTTTTAAAAAAAAAATTGTTTTAATTTTTAAAAACAAAATTTGGCTCAACAGCCACTTCCCAAACGGCTATATAGCCGTTGGGGGGAGGGGTACCAGGGGGGTCCGGGGCGTTTGGGGGGGGTGGGGGTTAAAAAAAACCTATAAATACTCCTAATTTTAAACATTTTTTCACACCTCTTCTCCAACTCTCCCTAAAATCCCTAAATCCTATTCTCTACTCATCTCCAATTCTCCATATTCATCTTCTCAAATTCTCTTATTCTCCTTTATATTTTATTTTACTATTTAATACTTATACAATTATTATATCTACTTATATATTAATTATCTACTTATAAATACATATACTATATTACTTATATTTCTTATCTGCTTAATCTCTACTTATATTTCTTAATACATACATACATACTACATCTACTTAATATATACTTTATATAATAAAGTATTAAATATACTTTATAAATTATTACTATATACTTAATACATAATAATATCTACTTCTCTACTTAATAATATCTATTTTATATATACTTATTTTTCAATCTCCAATTCTCCATTATACTCTAATATTTAATTCTTATACAATTATTATATCCACATAATACATACATTCTACATCTACTTAATATATACTTTATATATTAAAGTATAAAATATAAGTGTATTACTCATCTTATAGTAGTATACTTTTTATATATTATATACTATAAACATTATATTATATATTACTTACTATAACTAGTATTGTACTAGTTAATTAGTTAATTAGCATTCTTGTTACATTTATCATTATAATAGTTAATTAGTTCATTACCATTATTGTTACATTTTTCATTATACTAGTTAATTACTTAATTAGCATTCTTGTTACATTTATCATTATAATACGTAGTAGTTAATTAGTTCATTACCATTATTGTTACATTTTTCATTATACTAGTTAATTAGTTTATTAGCATTCTTGTTACATTTGTCATTATACTAGTAAATTAGTTTATTAGCATTCTTGTTACATTTGTCATTATACTAGTTAATTAGTTAATTAGCATTGTTGTTACATTTTTCATTATACTAGTTATTTACTTCATTAGTATTCTCATTAATTGTTAAAACAACTCTACTTCAATAAACTAGTTAATTGTCATTAATTCATTATAGTTAAAGTCACATTTTCTTATTTTCAATTTATATTTGTAGGAAGAAATAGTAGTTCAATCATTTAATTAAAATACTTAACATTTTATTTAAGTAGTTTTTACTAAATTAAAGTACTTCAAAAGTTGGTATAATTTTAATTTTAAAGTCACACATTAATTCTACTTTGCACTAAATTAGTTTGAAGTATTAATTAAAATAGTTTTAATTAGTTGCATTAGTTTTGTATCCATTATTATATTGATTGTCAATTAATATTTGTTACATTTTTAAGATGGAAGGTGGTAGATATTCGGTTGATTTGGGTAACCTCCAACGCAATCGAAGGAACGAGATTGAGAGGAAGAAATCCCGCAAAGGTAAAGAACTTGCCGGTTCTTCATCTCAAAGCCGAGATGATTTTGAAACGGGTTACCAAAGGCGAGATGGAGATGCGATGTCCGAAGAACAACTCCAACAAGAATTGGCCCGACATAATAACCGCTTTCTACAACAACAACAAATGCCGACGACCATTGACGAAGAGGAGCTTGAGGATGAAGATGCGGAGGAATTGGAACCGGAGACGGCCGAGGAGGAGGGTGCCGGCAGCCACGTCGCCGACGAGCCTGCCTCATCCCAAACCGCCACCGGTAATAAAAAAAGTAAGTCTAAACTAATGAAAAATAATTTTGATAAATGGAAGGACCCACAAACCGGCTATTGGCACGCAACTTGCAAGTGGTGCAACAACAATTATAGTTTGGGAACCTCCGGCGGATACGGATCCGCCGCAAGGCATCTTAAGGCAAAGCACCCCGTGGAGTATGCAAAATTAGGCGGCGGAACGGGGAAGCAAACTCAAATATCGAGGTTTGCGAATTCTCAACCTTTTGGTAATTTCTCCTACAATGATGCACAAAATTTGACTGGTATGGGCCGTATGGCTAACTTTATTTGTGAAGACAATTTGTCTTATTTGTTTTCTGAAAGTCTTGCTTTAAGAGATTATGCACAAGGTAGTTTAAATCCTCAATTTAGAAATTATAGTCGCAAAACTGTTAAGAAAGAAATAATAAGGCTTTATAAAGCGGAAAAGGAAAGGTTACAAATTTTTTTTGCAAACTTTGATGGGCGTGTTACTATTTGTTCTGACATATGGGAGGATGATTTTCATCATTTATATTATTTGGGTCTGACTGCACATTATATTGATGAGGATTGGAATATGCATAAACGTGTTCTTGCTTTTCGTGAATTTAATGATCGTCACACCGCTGAACATATTTATATTTTGATTGAGCGTATTTTAATTGAGTATAATTTGATTGATAAGGTGTTTGCTATTGGTTTCGATAATGCTACTAATAATACTGCTGCTATACCTAGATTGCGTGAGTTGTGTGGTGCCAATACTTTGATGGGTAGATTTTTTCATCAACGGTGTGCATGCCATGTTATAAATTTATGTGTGCAAGACGGTTTAAAAGCGTCAGGAGATTCCATGGAGGTAATCAAGGGGGGGATTAGACGTATTTGGGGTAATGGTCAACTTAGATTAAAATGGCAAACTTATTTGACTGAAAGAGGTGTGAGATATGTTGCTTTTCCTAAAGATTTGAGTATTCGTTGGAATAGTACTTATAAATTACTTAAAGTTTTTCTTAGATATAAAGAACATTTTCCTGCTTTTTTAAAAGAACATGATAACTATATTATAAACGCGGCTGAGATCGACACTTGCGAAAAAATCTGTAATGTTTTGATATATTTTTTTAATGCTACTGAAACTTTTAGTCATGTTTATAAACCTACCGCAAACCAATTTATTCCACAAGCTGTTAATCTCGCCGATGCTTTTAAAGAATTTCAGAATCCCGTTTTCGTTCATTATTTTTGTGATTCTATGAAGAAAAAGTTTTTAAAATATTATGTGCATATTCCCCATATTTATGGTATTACATTTATTCTCGATCCTCGTTATAGACTTGCTAATTTGGAAGATTGTTTCAACTTCTATTATCTTGCTTTTTTGGTGAATTTCCAATGTATGACGATAACCTCATAGATCCGAAAACGGAATACAACGAGGTTAGTACTTTATTTTATGCCTTATTTAATGAGTTTCGTGCACAATATAGTAGGGGTGGGTTCGGTTCTTGCGGTTCGGTTTTGACCTAAAACCAAATATAGAATCAAAGTAAAAAGTTCGGTTCGGTTTCGGTTCGGTTTTACACTCCAAAACTTGGAACCACGGTTTGATTGGTTCGGTTTGTTTCGGTTCGGTTTCGGTGTTTTCGGTTTTTTACCAAAAAATTATCACTTGATTCAAAATTGATATAATACTTGGAGGGATCAAACATATTACATAAAGAATGCAAGCGCAATACAACGACAAATAAAATAAAAATGAGAAGAGATAAATATGTCTTGAATTATATGAGTATGCGAGATAGATAAAACTGTATATATTATAGATTTAATTTGTTTGTGAGTAGTTCGAAAAAAGTTCATGAATATATACATTCTATACTTTTATGTGATATAGTTGAGATGAATATTTATTGTTTTATCAATATAAAATCTTTAAGTTATCTAACTAGTAAACACATATTATTATCTTTCAATATAGCTACATTATTACAGACAATGAATGTGTAAATGAATTTATAAACTAAATTAAACTAAACATAACACAAACATTATTTTTCTAACACAAGAAAGCCAAAGACTATTGATGATATTAAGATTAATTACAATTAATGCCTAACAATTTAATTATAAATTTCATATTTTAAATAATTCGGTTTGTTCGGTTCGGTTCGGTTTTGAAGGGTAAAAGCCAAAACCGAACCAAACAACTTCGGTTCGGTTCGGTTTTTTACATTCGGTTTCGGTTTCTTAGCGGTTCGGTTTTATTTGGTTGCGATTCAATTTAATTTGATTCGGTTTTCGGTTTTCGGTTTTTCGGACCCAGCCCTACAATATAGCAACGCTCCCCCTCCCCCGTCACGAACATCTTCATCTAAAGGAAAATCGATTTTTAAATCTGCATTTGGCAATCTTATGAAAAAAACAAAAACAACTCACATCACTGAACAAAGTGCATTGAATGAGATTACTTTGTATTTAACATATGAAGTTGATTTTGAAGAAAATGATGACTTTGACGTTCTAGACTGGTGGAAGTCAAAAGAAAGAACGTTCCCGATTTTGGCACGGATGGCTAAGCAAGTACTATCAATGCCGATTTCAACAGTTGCTGTGGAACAAGAATTTAGTTCGGCCTGCAACGTCCTAACGGCATCTAGATCGAGATTGAGCGCGGAGTCTCTTGAGACGCTTATATGCTACCACGATTGGTTGAAGGCCGCACGTAGAACTCAAGAAATGAGCATCACCCCCTCCCAAGATTTTATGGATGACTCAACAACCGATGGTGGCTCTACCTATGCCGGAGGTTCCGATTGATTAGTATTTTAGAATTTATTATAAAATGTATTTTGTAGCACTTGTCAAATTTATTTATACTTGTACTTCATATTTCAAAATTGTAAACTTGTACTTCATATTTCAAAATTGTAAATTTGTAGTTGTACTTCAAATTAATTTGTAAACTTGTACTTCATATTTCTAATAAATATGTGTTTACTTTTTCATATGTAGCACTTCTCAAATTAATTAATTGGTTCCAAACTAACGACTTAAAATTATTTTTCTAAAATATAAAGCTGGTTTTTAAATTAAAAATACATTTACAATATGTAATTTGTTTAAATACTTATACACCTATTTTGTAACATTTGTAAATTATAAATCAAACCACTTTTCTAAGTACAAATAGTTTTAGTTTTACTTAATTCATTAAATTAATTAATTTATTTTACAATATGTATAACTTAAAAAAAAATTGAAATCAAACCTCCCAAACGGCTATATAGCCGTTGGGGCTATGGGTGGGGGGCAGGGGGGTCCCAGGGGTGGTGGTGTGGGGAGTGGGGTTCAAAAACATCTATAAATACATCTATTTTCTAACATTTTTCTACCCCTCTTCTCCAATTCTTCTCCAACTCTTCTCCATCTTCATCTTCTCTTATTATCCTACATTCCTACTTATACATATACCATTTTAAATATGGAAAGTATATCTTCCCTTATGCAAAACAATTTTGACAAGTGGAAGGACCCGAAGACCGGACTGTGGTGGGCAACTTGCAGGTGGTGCAAGAAAGAGTGTTGCTTGGGGCGTTCATACGGATACGGGATGCCAATAAAACATATGAAGTCCTGTGACAAAGGGAAAACAACAACCAACGGTGGCGGAAATCCCAATTGATATTCATTAGCCAATGTATTTCGTATTGTTATTTTTTTCTCAATTCTCAAATGTAGTTCTTATTTCAAATAAATGCACTTGAACTTTGTTTTTAATAGGAATTTATATAATATATAATTAATTAAAAAAAAATACTGGCCCGCCCCGGCCCGGCGGGTGGCCCGACCCGTGACCCGGGCGGGTGGCCCGGCCCGAACCGGAACCGGCCATTGCCCGGGCCGGTTCCGGGCCTACCATTACAAGACCCGAGGCCCGACCGGGCCTTGACCCGGCCCGGGCCCGACCCGGCCCGGGCCTGACCCGGCCCGGGTCCATCACTATCACAAACACTTTACTCCTATTAGGGCAATTTTTTGTTGTATAATTTAAACTTAAACTTGGAATACCCCATTTCAAGGGAAATTACTAACAGATACCCCATAAAGTAACTGTCTACATTAAAGTAAATATTGAATAGATACCTCAAACTTATGAAAGGTAATTAAATTTGGAACTCGTTCATTTATTAGTAGCTTAAAAATAAGAGCATCCTATAAGACATTTATTTATAACTTCTGTATCAAAATAAGTATCAAAATTTTCATTTTATGGAAGTAACAAAACAAATGTCACATTTCTATTGTATAAAGAAATCTACCCCAACGATCAAAAAAAAAAGAAATCTACCCCAAAAGCAGCTACATTACACTAATAAAGTAAACAGTGCTGCTATGGTATAAAAAATCTCCTACTTGTTTAGAAAAATTCACAGTAAATTTATAAATTTTCTTAAATTAACTACATGAAAAGCATATTGAAACACCTATTACGATACAAAGGGAGTATAAATTAGCAACACAGGAGGAAAATTTGCAGCATTAGAAGAAAAGCCACACCTACCAAGAGGCCGTTTGGTAACCTCATTTTTCGGCTTATCAGGCTTATCAGCCAACTTTTTCACCAAACACGTAACTTTTACTTTTGCGCGCTGGATTGTGTAATAAGCAGAAAAAGTAAGGTTGAAGTTACTTTTCTGGTTGCATTGACTGAAGTTACTGTAGATGACCATTTTAGCTATTTTTACATATAAGTTTTTCTTTATTTTATTAATAAAATATATTTTAAAAATATTTTTTACTTAAATCAGCAGAAACAGCCAAAGCAGCTACTTCAGTCAGGACTTCATAAATTTCAGCAGAAACAGCCAAAACAGCCGATTTGCATGCTACCAAACGGGCTCCAAATAACAAACCGGACAAATTAATACGGAGCATGCAACTCCCTTTCTAAATAACTCCATGGATTTCTTGTGCTCAACCTTTAGCGGTTCTATCTCAATTTCACTTGCACCAATATAATCTTGTTTCTGTTTTCATATAGAGAGCATAAAAAACTGCAGTTTAAGCATTCTCGAATATAATCCTCAAAGTTTCATATTTGAAGGCATAAATGGTGAAAAAAAGATGGCCAAAATACATGTGAAGAGCAATTCAATACCAAAATACCAACCTACAATTCACGGAAACATCAAGTTTTAGAGTCATCAAAGCTTTTCCCTTGACCAAAATTATGAATAGTAAAAAATTAAACAATTAACAAGAATAGTAAGAGACCAATTCAACTTTATTAAAAAAAAAGGAGAAATTTTGATAGTGTAACAAAACTGCTGGAAGAAACTTTAGCACTTCTAGGATTTTACACATCAATTCGTACTGACATTAAAGAAATGTCAACAATTAATTTGATATATACTATGCTCTGAATGTGCACAAGACATCTATGATAAAGCCACCATTTAAGACTAGATAATCTAATTGAAATGATTAATACCACCTGATTCCAAGTAAATGAAAATATTAATATTATAACTATTCCATACACATTAATCTAAATACATCAGAAGGAAAAATCCATATGGATGAATAGAATAAAATAGAATACCTTATTTTTTAAAGCCTCCTCCGATGCCTTTGTAGTCCTTCTCAACCATAGCAGTTAAGTAAGGTTTTCGGAAATCCATGACATTTAAAGATTGTTCCGTCATCATATTCATGATATCGTCCTTCAGGATGGTCCTTCTGATATGAGGGTGGTTGCGGCGCTGGTCACGAGAGAAGTATTTGATTCGTCCACAGTTTCGGGATTAGATGATGGTATGATGGCCTTAGCTGAGATATGGCTAGCTGGACAGAAACACGGTGGCGATTTGACTCTCGGCCATGGTAGACGACGACGGTAATGAGCTACTAGCGAGATAGATTCATATCGGAGACATGGGGGAAGACGACCTAAGGCTGATCTAAGTCCGATCTAGTGGAGAATGGGAGGAAGAAGAAGGAACGTAGGAAATGAGTGTGCTCCAGCTAGCTCCTATGTCGGGATCAGGAATGTGTCAACGGTCTGTAATCTGGACTGGATGGATGGTTGGGTATATTTAATTAGGGGTAAAAGAGATATTTACAAATAAATTAGTATTTAATTAATTTAAACGGTGGCTGTGTTTAGCCATTTTCTGACTGCGTATAGAATGGCCCTTAAGTTTTTTTTTTAATTTTTCAGGTTGGGCCTAAATTTAATTATACCTATATACTAGTTAAAAAAATAAAAAAATTGAGTGTGGGCCTAGGCCCTCACTGGCCTAAGCCCAATCCGCCCCTGGGGGCAGATGCCACTGCATGGAGAGTTCTTTGCCTTTGTAACAGCCCCTAAGTTTTGTCCTTAAAGTTGATTATTTGTATGGTTATTGTTGGTGTTATTATCTTGGGGTACACATGCTTGGCACAGTGATTTTTGATGTTTAGTTGTCGATCTTAATGCGAACTTTAATGTTAGTTCTTTTAGAGAGTGTTTGCGATTGCTTCAACTTTAAAAAAGTGATTTTTTAAAGTGATTTTGGGAAAAGTGATTAATAGTAAAAGTTGGTAGTGTTTGAGAAAAAAGTGATTCTGAAAAAGTAAAAGTTGGTAGTGTTTGGTAAAATAAGTACTTTTTGTGTAATAGAAAAAGTGAGAAGCAGTTTAAAGCACCCTTCTACCTGCTTCCAGCTTTTAGCTTTTAAGTGATTAATTTAAGCAGAAGCTGTCATTTGAAAACACTCTTTTCAACTTTTTTAAGCCAAAAGCTAAAAAACGCTTTTTTTATTCAATCCCAAACACTCCTTAAGTTCTATTGGGAACTTTCATTCTTACACTATAGTTAGTACATCTATTATCCATATATACACACAATGAATATTAAAAATCTCATCTTTTATTAGTTGTGAGACAAATAATACATAAGAATGTAATAAAAATATAACTAACAGTAAATGGGGCGGGTACGGGGCGGGTAATGGGGCGGGCATGCATAAAACCATAACCGCCCTGTTACCCATAAAAACAAAACGGGTATTCCCCGCCCCGTACCCATTACCCGGTCAATGCGGTTTTCCCCATTTTGACCGGGGCGGTTCGGTGCGGGTATCCATCAGATCGGTCACAATTATCTCTAATGATAATGAGAAAATATTACAGTAGTTACTTTTATTTAAAAAATAATCTTATTTTAAAATATACGGAGTACAAACTTTTTTAATCTTATTTTATTTTAGGCAATTTTTTCGATGTTACTCCGTACTTAATTAGAATGGGAAAAGACTCCGATTTATAATGAGGGGCACTAGGGTTAGGAGTTTCCTGCGATAAACAGAGACGTCTAAGTAGTAGCATACTCCGTTTTGGCGATCGATCATGGCAGTGGAGTACGAACTGCTATGGGAACTGGACATAGAAGAAGACGGTGCTGATCTTAAAAAGTCGTCTCTGGCGAGGATGTATTTGGACCGGACTACATCCTATAGCAAGACATGGTGGTTGGATATGAAAGAATCCGACTGGAACAAGCAACTTATGTATAGGATTGAGGAGAATGTTGACGTGAGCGGCAAATGTGCGGAGAATATTGAGTTGGAGAAGATCCTCAGGGGAGGATCTGCAAAAGAAGAAGAAGAACTTACGACTTTAATTGCGGATAAAGTACTCTCCCCCCTTGAGCCCGTAGTCTCCCTAGACGGACTGAAGGACTTGGCAAGCGTATTGGTAAAGGGATGTCGTGATCGGCTTATTCTTCTTATCAATGGCAACCCCAACTCAAATTCAAAGTTATTCTCAATTGGGGTTGCTGTAAGAATACAACTCTCTGTAACATTGCTACTAGGTGCCCCGACCCCGTATCAAGATTTCCTGTTGCAGCCGGAGGAGGAAGTTTTTGACCCATCATCTCCGATGCCTCTGCCAATTGTAGTGCCGGATGGCTACGATTTCTTCCAACTTGGCGTTGGTGCAAAAGAGGATGAAGGAAAAACATGTGCAATTTGTTTTGGCAAGTACGAACCGCAGTGCCTCATGATTCGCCTCCAATGTATGGATGAACTTTTCCCTAATCCTAAGAAGCATATCCACAAGGAGAGCCACAAGGAGGCAATATTGCTGCCATGTTACCACATATTTCATGCAAAATGCATTGCAGGCTGGTTTAAGGTCCCAGGTTATCATAGCAAACATCCTGAAACCGGTTATATTACTTGCCCTCTATGCAGGTTTGGTATCCCCTCCCGCATTTACGTGCTTTCTCTTTTACACAGATTTCCTCTTAAACTGATGAGAGTTGAGCATTTAAGAATGAATGTTAAGTGAACCAGGTTGGGCCACCAAGCCCATTGTGTTTGTATGTATTTCAAGCCTACCCCTGAGCAACATTCAAGCAGCACTCCAAAGAAGAGAGAACTTGTGCCATTTTTAGTGTGCTCAATTAGATTTTTCAATTTTGTTACGAGTCATTTTTCAGATGTACCCCTCCCTCCTACATGTAATTTATTCATACGTTAGTTATTTTTGTGACTGCTGGCATATTTTCCCTTGTACTTGTTATTTCCGTCAACAACACCACTTAAGCCAACTAACAAATATAGTATGGTGACCGGTGAGCATAGTATATCCATTTTTTTTTGAAATTGGATTTTAAAGAATGTTTTTGCCCGTCATTATTTCTAAGCTAAGTCAGACATAGTAAAACAAACCTAGTTGCTACAAATTGCTTACTCTAACTTCTTCCCACGTATATAAGGTTTTGCCTGGCCGCATTTTCTTATCCTTCTTCCTAGAAATTATGTTGGTAAGCTCTTTAGATGTAATGATTAGGACTTTGATATATCCTAGCATTATATTCTTAATATATTTTTCCAAGATAAATATTCTCATATATGGAATTAGGGCTAAGTGATACAGCTTTGGGATACACATACAGATCTTACACAGTAGTTGACATATTTTTTGATAACCTTGTATGTGCAATAAAAGATTTCCAATAGGTCTTTGTTTGCATCCTGTAAACTGCACATTTTTTTTATGTAATATGTGACACTGGTGGCATAAAATGAAGAAAGACTGTTGCTTTGTAGTGGTTCTGTACTTTTATTGCCCTTTTTGTACATGAAACATGTACTGAACTGCAAACCACACACATATATATGACATTGCTTACTGTTAAATAAAATACTCCGTACATAATTGATGAGATAGTGTGGTGGGAAGCCGTGTAATGACCAGCCTTTAACGGCAATGGCAGAAATCTGCTTCTCCGATGGTGGGTTTCTGTCCAATCCATACTTCTCTTCGGGCATACTTATATCTGGACAACTCCATGTGCGTAGAAACTGCTTGGTTCAGTGGCATACTTTTCTAGATAGAGCTCATCAAATGCTAAAATCCAATGAATTCCATCATATTGAAATCCATAGAATTCTTTAAAAGTCTTATAGAATTTATGGAATTCCATACAACTCCATGAAATCCATAATCCTTTAAAACCCATCAAAATCATAGTTGGGGGACACCCAACTATAACTTCTTGACACATATAAGGTTTTGCATGGTCACATTTTTCTTATCCTTCATTCCTTCTTCCTTGAAATTACATTGATAAGATCTTCAGCAGTAAGGAGTAGCACTTTGATATATCCTAGCATTAGATTCTTAATAAGTTTTTCCAAGATAAATACGTAGTATACTCATATATGGATACACCTACGAACCTTAGGCAGTAGTTGACATAAATTTTGGTAACCTTGTATGTGCAAAAAAAAGCCAACTGGTCCTTTGCATCCATTAAACTGCTCTTTTTTTTTTATGTAGACACATAGCAGCACCTACTGATATGGGTATACACAAATCAATATTTGAGCATCTGTTGTTTGGTATTCATTATGGTTTTTGTTAGACACTTGTACTGATTTAAGCATACCCAAATGGATATTTGAGCATAAAAGACATGTCTTGTTTGGTGTGCCAGTTCAGCCCATAAAGGGTAGAATTTTTTTAAATTCAACTAGTTATTATTTAAGTAGACATGTTTGGATAAAAGCCTAAAGTGAGCTGAAGCTGGAAAAAGTGGGCTGGACTAAAATGTTAGTGGACCTAGCCTTTACATTCAGCCTTATTGTATAATCCATTCCCGATCCTTAAACTACCCTGAACGCGTAGCTATGTTTCTTTGCGGCAAAAGGTGCCATCATCGATCCTTTCCTTGTCTGCGTTAAACATCTCTTCAACAACAAAATTCTTCACATTGGTTCACTATTGTGAGGTATGGTTTATCCTTCTCACTGATTCTCCTTCTCAGGTTCTTCTTCACTCATTTTGTTTGTATAGAAGCATTAGAGTGCACATCTATCCAATGTTTAAGTGAGAGCTACTGGGAGATGATATGTTTGATTAGTGTCATGAGTTTTGGGTCAAGATTAGAGTTGATTTCAACCAGGAACCTGCAAGCTTATACCCAATATGCTATGACTAATCCTCTGCCAAGAGATAGAGTGAAAATAGTAGGAACCCCCAGTGTATATATCTGCTAGCCGAACATCTGGGGTCTTCTCTTCCACCCTTTGGCAAAACAAAACACAGAGTTCTTGTTGCATATGGAAGAGAACCTTCTCATGAATATCATCACATTTACTCAACAGGATCCAAACAGTAGAGGAAAACAGCAATTCCATATTTTCATGAGCCCAAACATGGGTGTCAATAATTTATATTTTTATGGTAGTTATTCATACAAGAGTGCTTTTTATATAGATTGGTCTTGTGAAAATCAGAGTCGACTGGTCTAACATTTTATCTTCAAAAAATGATTAGAAATATTTGTCAGTAATTAGTGGACTTTATTCATTGAAAATGTTGAAAAATCTGCATATGTACGGCGGTTGGTTACACTTATTTGAATACCATTTTAGGAATAAATACCAAATTCAAGCAACTTTACACAACTAGGCATAAGTATACATCCTAATCACCTAACCTATATATATATATATATATATATATATATATATATATAGGTCGAGAGATGTAGTTTGTCTAGGATCTGTGTAGTTTTGATAAATCCTTTGATAAAACAAAAAATTAAGACCTCAACCAGGGCAGCCGTACAGTTTGTAAGTAGAAGGATCAAACTTAAGTTGTTCTCCTTTTTATTGGGTCTACTATAGGTTGGCATAGAGCCATAGAGTGAGTTGAATTCAGTGAAGATGTTCCTTATCCTTTTTTCCCACCTTGATAGTTAAAAACACATACTGTTATTACGTAAACTTAGAGTCCGTTTGGTAGCACGAAAACTGGGTGATTCGGCTGATTCAGCTGAAATTTATGAAGTTCTAGCTAAAGCGACAACATTGGCCGATTCTTCTAATTTAAGGAAAAATTATTTTTAAAATATATTTTATTAATAAAATAAAGAAACAATTATATGTAAAAAAACTAAAATGATCATCTACGGTAATCTTAGCCAATACAACCAGAAAATTAACTCCAACCTTATTTTTTCTGCTTATTATACAATTCAGCGCGCGAAATCAAAAATTATGTGTTTGGTAAAAAAATTGGCTGATAAGCTGGAAAACATTGTTGCCAAATGACCTCTTAATTTTATTATTCTATATGAAGTATTAGAAGGTATGAGGACTACAAAGAGTGGAGGAGCTAGGCGGGGGCATGGGGGAGCAAGCGCCCTTTCTTCGGCCGGTTTTTTTTACTAGTACTACTTATAAAATATTTCATGCCACTGTTTCCCTTTGTAATAACAATAAGTACTACTTAAGATTTAATTTTAGATTACGTATTAAAATAGAATAAAATGGAATTAATAAAAAGTAGTCCAAAAATGAAATATAAAATAAAAGGGAGTATAATTACCAAATGAAAAATGTAATGTTTAATTAGAAACGGATTCCACCGATTTTTTTTGGGAAAACTTCACAAATAGTTTGAAAAGTTAAAATAATATCACTAGCGTCACCACTTAAATTTTCTTTCATAAATAGACCATCCGTAATATACTTTTAAAACAGGAACTTGATTTTCGGAGCGAGAGCTCTGCTCTCTAAAACTTCGATCCTCCTAGGGCGTGCCGCCGCTAGGTTAGTTTTACGACTTTCGGCTTTGGGCTAAAGATCGAGAGCAACAGTTTGGAGACGGAGGCCTGAACGATTCCAATCCATCTCGGTTGGACGTGAGGCGGAAGGTAGGGGATAAAGGAACGCCGCAGCTGGCCAATAGCTTCTTCGCTGTGAGCGCAGGGAGTCGAGAGTGGGCGAAGGTTGTTTTCATGGAGGATTTCGTTGCTTCATATAACAGATTATCCATGAAGGACCAGGAGAGTGAGTTAAACTTCGATGAGGATACAGAGATTGATGCCGAGGAGGTGCAAGAACCGAAGCAATTTATGGCAGTAGGGGTAGTCATCACGGACCGTAAAATTAAGCTTTCAGGATTTCAAGAGCTGATGACCTTGATCTGGAGGCCAGTGAAAGGTATGGCTATTAAGGAAATCGGCGAACGCAGGTATCTGTTAATCTTTAATCATGTTTTGGACATGAATCGTGTGATTGAGGAAGGCCCTTGGCTTTTTGAATGTGATTTGATTTTGTTAAAAGTTGTCCAGCCTGATGATATACCTGAATCAATGAATCTGTTTGAGGCCAGCTTTTGGGTACAGGTGCATAATGCCCCTATAAAATATAGGAATCTGAGATCTGCCGGGAAAATTGGTAACTATAAGGCTCATTTATTAAATTTGAGATGAGTCACTTTGATGGAAAACATAGTTCCTATCTAAGGATAAGAGTGAGTCTCGATGTTCGTCAAACTTTGAAAAGGGGCACAAATTTAACGCAGAATGGAGTGAAACATTGGGTTGATTTTAAATATGAAAAACTGCTCAGTTTTTGCTTTATTTGTGGTATTATTGGTCATTCTGACAAATTTTCTCCTTTGAAGTATGAAGAAGGTTTTGTAGCTGAAAAAATATATGGGGTGGAAATTAGAGCAGGTGGAAGGGTAAAGAACAACCCTACATGGTTTAATAAATGGTTATCCGATGGAGCCTCTAGTTCAGATGGATATGCAGGTCAACGAAAGTCTGATCTAGGGAGAGAACACTCGGCTGAGTCCAATGCTACCAAGGCTCCATTGAGCGAGAGCGAGGATAAAGAGGATCCACCAGGGGATCTAAAGCGTAGGCGTACGTGGAAAGACCAGAATGAAGGAGCGGATGGTGCAGGATTGGCTCTGGATGGGTCAAAAAATGGGGAAGGGGCAAGTCTGATCTCATAGACCCGCCGTGCATCTTCTGGGCGGTGATGAAGAAAAAGTTTAGTTTCAGTGTTCTTTTATTTATCTGTTTTGGTTACTTTAAATCTGGTTGCTTTGTTCTTTTTTGTTCTGGTACTTTTTTTCATTGTGAGACTCTTGCATTAAGGTGGGGGGAGGAAGAATCTGCGGCAACCGTCATTAGCTCTAATTTTCCCAAAATTGGTCTAGCAAGCTATACTGCTTTTTTACAGGTGGTTAGCTCTCTGTCTCGGCCACAGGCGGATGGTTATTTGTGAGTTTTTCTAGTTCTGTACCCTTGCTAAATGCTATTTTTATGAATTAAGTCTTCTGCGAACAAAAAAGTAAGACCATCCGTATGAACAACTTTGAAGTACTGTTTCCAAAATTCGTAGATCATCCGTAAAAATA